CAGGCTGAGAGAGAACATGTCTTGTGGACAGGGCTCACTCTGGGTTGGGAGGGGGGAAGACAAGTAGAATGGGTAAGAAACATAAAAGAGGAGGTGGGCTCGCACAACACCTAGAGAGAAGGAAACCGGTGTGAAGGGGAACTGCCCCAGCCTCCAGCCTTCCGGGAGGACCAGGCTCACCTCACAGTGATAACATTCCACGTGGTAGTCTCTATCCATGGACACCACACGGATAGTTGTCTCACAACCCTGGAGGAAGAGATGGGGTTCACACACAATAAGCAAGCTGGGGTTTGAGGTGAATTGTGCACGGGGCCCATGCCTACACCGTGTGCTTTGTCATGGTAGATGTGCATTCGTGCCTGTGTGACACTGACTCAGTAAGAATGGGCATCGGTAGGTGCACATGAATGGATGTGCATGTGCCAAAAGCATGCACACGTGTCCATGAGAGCCATCACGTGGGTGTGAACGTGCAGGTACATATTCTCTTCAGTTCTTTGGAGTCAGGAGACCACTGCCAGTCCTGCTTCCCCAGCTTGGGACAGAACCAGCATGTGTGGAAGACCCAATGCCTGGGAGAGCTGCACTACCCCAGGGTGTCTCCTGCACAGGCTGCCCCGTCTCATCTCATCTGCTCCCCCGCCACCTCTACCTGCAGAGGTAAGAGACCCAGGGGACAGTCCTTCCTTCATCGATGGGCAATGGAGCTGAACACGGCCAAGCAGCAGGGGCCACCATTTCCCTCTAACTCACGCAGGGACACTGCACTCCGCACGATGGGCACATACCCATCCCTCAGCCCTGAGGGGCATGGGCAGGAGCATCTGCTCATCCCTCCCACAGGGGCCCAAGAGCTGGGGCGGACGCGGGTGGGACCTGCCCCTGCTGGGCCAGGCACCTGATCATCTCCTGGTGGGTGGTTCCTACCTGTGCAGGGAGAATAGGACGAGCACAGGAGGCGCATTTTGGTGCAAAAGCCCTGGAAAATAAAGGAAACCAGAAGTGACCCGCTGAGTGACCACAGGCCAAGGGCACAGGGCAGGCCTGCCCACAGCAGCCCCATGACCTTGCCCAAGCGTCAGTCCCCGGTTCCTGTGTGGACACATAGGGTGGGAGCAGCTTCTGCCATGCCTTCTTGGCACTGGCCTTTTATCTGACTCCCCAATACCCCTCCATTCCATCACCTCCTCCAGGATGGCTTCAGGTTCCACTCAGCACTCTCTCTTGTGCTTCCGCAAGATCCCTGCCCCCTAACTTCCAGGTATGGGCTGCCCTCTAGCTGAGATGCCTGCAAAAAGCTGGCTCCACGCTGAGTAACAGGACCTATGCCAGGTACCAACCCCCGGCATGGCAGCAACACAGGACCACAGCTCCGAGGGCTGAGCCTGGAGTCACAGCAAGGAGAATGGATTGGCTGCTCGCATGAGTACCCGACAGGAAGGAAAAAGAATGTGTGGAGATCCCAACCTCCACCTCAGATAAAAGAGGCCTGGCCTGGGGACAGACGGGTAGAAGCCAGGTGTGGCCATACGGAGAGTCCTCAGCACTAGGAGAAGGGGAGCATGCAGGCACAGGTGGGGAGAGGAAAGACATGGCTGGTGGCTGAACCATCAAGAAATCTGGCAGAGATCTGTGCCCTGACCCAACCACAAGGGGAGGCTGGAAGCAAAAAGGTCATGAAGGAAGAACAAGCCCTAGCCGAGTGCTCAGTGGTTAGAGCATCAACCCTCAGACTGAAGGGTCGCAGGTTTGATTCCAGTCAAGGGCAGGTATCTCGGTTGCAGGCTCAATCCTCGGCCCTGGTAGGGGCATGTGCGAGAGGTAACCAATCGATGTCTCTCTCTCTCTCCCTCCCTCCCTCCGTCCCTTCCACTCTCTCTAAAAAAAAATCAACGGAAAAATATCCTCGATTAACAAAACAAACAACAAAAAAGAATGGAGAACACAGACAGGCGGGCCAGGAAAATGTTTCCAGGGAAGGCAGAAGAAACATGGGAGTCACACCTGCTCCACACGCCGGCTACTCACGTATGATAGTCCCTGACACAGTAGATGTTGTTCTCCACGTCCACAGTGAAGGGCACCCCGTCCAGGCACTCATTGCACACAGAGCACCGGAAGCAGCCTGGGTGATAGGACTTCCCAAGGGCCTGGAGGATCTGGGGGTGGGAGGCACTGAGGGGTCAGTGCAGGTGGAAGGCTCAGCACAGCCCCCGGAATAGGCTCTGGCTCTGAGCCCCTGGCAGGTCTGCAACAGGTGAGAAGGGCGGGGTCCTAAGTTTGCCCAAGACAGAGGAGCTCCAGGGACTGGGGGAGGTTCTCACCATCTCCATGATGAGGTGTCCACACACGCTACACTTGTCAGCCGTTTGCTGGAACCCGGAGTACTATCAAGGGACACAGGACCCAGGAGGTTACGTGACAAAGGGGCACTCTGCCCAGCCAGCACCCGCCTCCTGGCCTCAGGTCTCCATGGGAATCAGGAGGGTCCCTGCCCTGCTCCACCCAGGGGCCAGCCAGTGCACAGCTTTGACTCACCAGGAAGTCCTCCTGGCAGTACACTTTCTCGCCCACATTGTAGAACGCCTTCCCACGAAGCCGTCTCCCTGCAAGGACGAGGGTGGAGAAAGGGGTCCCTGGGCCGCTGGAAACCAGGGATGGGGTCCCTGCTGCCATTTCTCAGCCCCTCCTCCAACAGACAAGAAGCGGATTATGGACAAATTTTAAGTTTTCCCTTTAATGTGATGTTATCATTATACTAATTAAGTTTATTTTTCAATTACAGTTGGCATGCATTATATTAGCTTCAGGTGATTAGCTTCAGCACAGTGATTGGACATTTGTATAACTTACAAAGTGATCACCCCAATAAGTCTGACACCACAGTTATTACAGTATCACCAACTGTATTCCCTATGCCGTGCTTTACATCCTCGTGATTATTTTATAACCACCAATATCGCTTAATTCTTTCACCTTTCACCCAGCCCCCCAAACTCCCTTCCATCTGGCAGCCATCAGTCTGTTCTCTGTGTCTAGGACTGTTTGTTTTGTTTGTTGATTTATTTGTAATATTCCACATACAAGTGAAATCATACGATATTTGTCTTTCTCTGTCAAATTGATTTCACTTAGCATAATACCCTCTAGATCAGTGGTTCCCAAACTTATTTGGCCTACCGCCCCCTTTCCAGAAAAAATATTACTCAGCGCCCCCTGGAAATTATTTTTTTTTAATTTTAATAGCAATTAAACAGAAAGATATATGTATTAATGTTTCTACCTTTTTTGTAAAATATAGTAAAGAAAGGTGTAAATTAGAAACATTGAAGTTTGAAATTATGAAACTATTTATTGAACTCAGAATAGAAAGGTAATACAAAAAAAGTTAAAACAAATGCACCTGTGGCCATCACCGCCCCCCTGGATCGCTGCAGCGCTCACCAGGGGGCGGTAGCGCCCACTTTGGGAATCACTGCTCTAGATCCACCCATGTTGTTGCAAATGGTAAGACTTCATTCTTTCTATGGTTAAGTAATATTTCATTATATATTATATGCACCACAGCTTTTTTATCCACTTGTTTATTGATGGGCACTTTGGCTGCTTCCGTATTTTGGCTGTAAATAATGTTGTAATAAACACAGGGAAGCATTTATCTTTCCGAATTCGTGTTTTTGGATTTCTTTGGATAAAGAACCACAAGTGGAATTGCTAGGTCATATGGTTGTTTTCATGTTTTATTGTTTTCCCCACAGTGGCTGCACCAATTTAGAATCCCAACAGTGCATAAGGGTTCCCCTTTCTCCACATCCTCTCCAACACTTGTTTGTTGATTTATTGATGACAGCCTTTCTGACAGGTGATAGCTCACTGTGGTTTCAACTGGCATTTCCCTGATGATTAGTGCCGTTGAGCATCTTTTCATATAGTAATTAATATTTTTTAGGACACAAAGTTGTTGTTTTTTTGGGGGGGGACACCACACTTCTACTCAATTAGGAGAAACCTTTTTATCAGTACACAGGTCTTTTTTTATATATACTCATCATGCCATGAATTCATAGGGAAGGGTTCCAGCAGCTCAGCTCCTTTCCATTGGTTCTCACTGTGCTCTGGGTGGAGCGGGCTGGCGCTTCCGGTGAACCAGGTACCTTTCTCTCTGGCTTCCTTCTTTTTCTGATCACTTTCCCTCACACGTTTCAGGAAGCTACCACGGATCTTGGAGAGCTTAATATGCTCAATACGTACATTCTCTTGGCAAGAATTTTGCCTTTAACTTGTTTATTCGCAAAAATGCCCACTGCATGCTGGGTGACATTGTAGACTCTTCCAGTTTTGCTATGGTAACATTCGTGGGCATTCCTTTTTGAACAGGGCCCATTCCCTTGATGTCCACAATATCACCTTCTTGTAGGTGCACATGTAGGTGGTCAAAGGAACAACTCCATGTTTCCTAAAAGGCCTAGAGAACCTATAGCGGGTGCCTCTCCTCTTTCCTTTGTGTTAGTCATTTTAGTGAATTATTGGGAGATGGCAGTTCTGACCGAAAAGCTAATTAATATTTTTTAATTAAATAGAACATGTCAACACAACTATTGTAAGAGGTTGTCAAAGTAAATAGTGGAAGAACTTGTTTCAAATGTAAACTGATGTTCTAACTTTTTTTTAATCACATTCATTTCAGTTAAACTGAGAACACTTTTCAGAATGACTTTCCTTATTTCATGAACATCACAAGTACAATTCTCCCCAGATGAAGTAGCCTAATATGAAAGAGGCGTCCTTGTCAAGAGCCCCAGCAGCTATGAGAGGCACCCCCATGAGACGGGAGACAGCCCAGGCCTAACTGGGGACAAGAGGGCTCCTCCGGCACCAGGACGGCACCCGTGAAAGCGCACAGCCGACGGCAGACATGAGGTGATACAGTAAACGCACTAGCCCTCCACGGTGCAATAAGACATGTAAATAAACTTAAAAATTGGGAAGAAAAAGTAAGGCTATTTTTAAACACAGATGATATTATGTTATGTAGAAATTCATAAGGAATCTACAAAAAAAAAAATCTCCCTAGAACTAATATGTGAGTTTATCAAAGTTGTAGGATAGGTGGTCAGCATGTGAAAACCAAATATATTTTTATATTCTAGCAACAAATGATTGGAAATGAACATAATTTTTAAAATTACACTTATAACAGCATCCAAAAAAATCCATAAATACTAAAGGATAAATTTAATGAAAGACATGTCTGACCTTACTCTGAAAAACTAAACTTTGCTGAGAGAAACTGTAAAAGACCTACATAAACAGAGAGGTATGCCACTGCTGGAAGGCGGCGCTCCACTGGGTCGCTCGCATTTCTACACATCTTACAAACAGAGCTTCAGATTTCATTCTGGATTACCTTTTCCTTCTTTTTTGTTTTCTGTTAATCCTCACCTGAGGATATTTTTCCCATTGATTTTCAGAGAGCATGAAGGGCCCTAACTGGTTTGGCTCAGTGAATAGAGTGTAGGCCTGCGGACTGAAAGGTCCCTGGTTCAATTCCCAGTCAAGGGCACATGCCTGGTTGCAGGCTCGATCCCCAGTAGGGGGTGTGCAGGAGGCAGCCAATCAATGATTCTTTCTCATTATTGATGTTTCTATCTCTCCCTTCCTCTCTGAAATCAATTTTTAAAAAACAATTTTTTAAATATATTTTATTGATTTTTATAGAGAGGAAGGGAGAGGGATAGAGAGCCAGAAACATTGATGAGAGAGAAACATCAATCAGCTGCCTCCTGCACACCCCCTACTGGGGATGTGCCCGCAACCAAGGTACATGCCCTTGACTGGAATCGAACCCGGACCCTTCAGTCCGCAGGCTGATGCTCTAGCCACTGAGCCAAACCGGTTAGGGCTAAAAAAAAATTTTAATGACACAAAAATATACACAGCAAACAACCCCAATATAATAAACAGAGTGTGGAAAAAATAAAAATAAAAATAAAATAAATAAAAAATAAATAAATAGTGTGGAAGGGAAGAATAGAGGGAGGGAGGGAGGCAGGCAGACACATCAATTGGTTGCCTCCTGAACATACCCCAACCAAGGCTGGGGATCGAACCTGCAACCCAGGTACGTGCCCTTGACCGGGAATGGAACCCGAGACCCTTCGGTGTGAGGGCCACCGCTCTAACCACTTAGCGACACCAGCCAGGGCAGGGATTATCTTTTCTAGGACATCTGTGGAGCAAGCTGTTTAGAAGACAGAGGTAGCATCTCCCTCTGCAGCAGAGAGCAGGTCTGTTCGCTGTCCAGAGTAATAAAGATGCGTTCCTCCAGGACAAGGGGCAGATAGCTTTGCTGGCAGCCCATTATAAAATACTGGGGTTCCCTAACCTCAGGGTTCCTCGGACCTGACTCAGACCCACTGCATGTGCAGCATCCATCAAGGCCACTCCATGTGACCCCTGTGGGTCTCAGGAGGGCAAACATGATGTGAATGTTAGTGACGTGCGTGCAGCTTGCGGTGCTGAGAGTCTGCCCAGGCAGCTCATGTCTTCAGTCAGCATCCGTGAACCGGTGGCAGGCTGACTGGTCAGCTTACAAGTAGGAAAAAATCTCACTCAGACCCTGCACAGCTCCTGACAACCATCTTCATGGCTTCAAATGTTGATATCAGCTCTCCCCAAATTGATCTATACATTCAAATGCTTTTCTTTCAAGAATAGCTAAAATTTATTTAAAACCAGTAAAATACATATTAAGACAAAACCTCAAGAAACAAAAGCTTAGCATTTATACAAAAAATAAATGGCTCGGTGGATAAAGCGTCGGCCTGCGGACTGAAGGGTCCCGGGTTCGATTCTGGTCAAGGGCATGTACCTTGGTTGCGGGCACATCCCCAGTAAGGGGCGTGCAGGAGGCACCTGATCGATGTTTCTCATCGATGTTTCTAGCTCTCTATCCCTCTCCCTTCCTCTCTGTAAAAAATCAATAAAATATATTTTAAAAAATAACAATAAAAATATAAACACTAGTTTGATAAAATATAGAAAAATAAATTATTATGCAACTTAGGATTTGAAATCATTTAACTGAAAATGGATATGCGCCTTTTGTTTCTCAATTTTGCCCAAACAAAATGCCAGCACTCATTTTTGTGTGTGTGTGGAAACTGACCTGCCAATTTTGAAATTTATATAAAAATATAAAGAACATCGAATAGCCAAAATAATCTTGAAAAAAAGACTGACAGCGGGAAGACTTATACTATTTCCTATTTTAAGACTTACAGTAATCAAAGACAGTGTAATAACATTGGGATGAAGAGACAAAAAAATCGGTGGAACAGAACAAAGTCCAAAAATAGACCCAGAAATATTTCAACAAACACACAAGTGGGAAAACAAAGTCTTTTCAGCACATAGTACTGCAACAACTGAATATCCATGTGGGGAAAGAACAACATTCAATTTCATACTTCACAACATACACAAAATTAGTATGAAGTGAGTTATCAATCTAAACATAGAAATGGGAAATCTAAAGCTTCCAGAAGAGAACACTGGAGACTATCTTTATGACTCAAAGGAAGACAAAAAAACAGGTCACAAAAAATAGTAACTATAAAACAAAACAAAAAATGACGCATTGGATTTCATCAAAATGTGAAATTTATCAAAAAATATATCATTAAAAATATTTTTAAAAATCATACTAGGAAAAAATATTCACAAAACATACATGTGAAAAGAACTTGTACTCATAAGATACATATTTTTTTCCTACAACTAAATAATAAAGACAAATAACTCCCAATTTAAAAATGGAACAAAAGACTTGAACAGACTTCACCAAAGATGATATAAATCAGTGGTTCTCAACCTTCTGGCCCTTTAAAAACAGTTCCTCATGTTGTGACCCAACCATAAAATTATTTTCGTTGCTACTTCATAACGGTAATGTCGCTACTAATATGAATCGTAATGTAAATATCTGATATGCAGGATGGTCTTAGGCGACCCCTGTGAAAGGGTCGTTCGACTGCCAAAGGGGTCGCGACCCACAGGTTGAGAACCGCTGATACAAATGGTCAAGCAGCAGACAAAAAGATACTCAACCTCATTAGTCCTCTGTGAAATGCAAATTAAAAACCACAATGAGATACCTCTCCACACCTATTAGACTGGCTTAAATTAGCCCACCAGTGTGGTTCACTGGTTGAGCATCGACCTATGAACCAGGAGGTCATGGTTCAATTTCCGGTCACGGCATATGCCCGGGTTGTGGGCTTGATCCCCAGTAGGGGGCGTGCAGGAGGCAGCTGATCAATGATTCTCTCTCATCATTGATGTTTCTATCTCTCTCTCCCTCTCAGAAATCAATAAAAATATATTTTTTTTAAAAAAGAATGGCTTAAATTTAAAAGACTAAAATACCAATTGTTGTCAAATATGTAGAACAACCCAACTCTCTTATATTTCTAGTAGGAGTATAAAATGGTGCAAGCCCTTTAGAAAACAGTTTGGCAGTTTCTTATGAAGTTAAACATACACTTAGCCTATGACCCAGAAATTCCAGTTCTTGGAATTTACCCAAGAGAAATGAAAACATTTGTCCACAAATGACCTGTACAAGAATGTTCACAGCACAATCTAGTATCTACCCACACTTAAATGGATAAGCAAATTGTGGTATATTCATACAATAGACTCCTACTCAGCAATAAAAAGGAGTTACAACTCCTTTAGTCCATGTAACATGGACAACAACAACAAAAGACACGATTACAAAAAAAGCAACCACAAAACAGTACATACTACATGACTGCATTTATATGAAGTTCTAGGACAGATGAAACTGATCTATGGTGGTAGAAATCAGAACACTGGTTAGGTGGATATGATGGGAAAGCATACGATGAAACTACAAAAGTACAAGATAGAAGTTTCTAGGGTGTTAAAATGTTCTATATCTTTGTTAGGGGTGTGAGTTACATAAATATATACACTTATCCAAAATCCTTTTACTATAGCTCTGAAGCATCGTCCCTCACACCAAGGGATGGCAGGTTCAATCCCTGGTCTGGGTACGTGCAGGAGCTAACCGATCGATGTTTCTCTCACACTGATGTTTCCTTTTATTTAAAAAAGGATGTTTTTATTGATTTAGAGAGAGAGGAAGAGAGAGGGAGAGAGAAACATCGATCAGCTGCCTCCTGCATACCCGCTACTGGGTATCGAGCCCACAACCAGGGTATCAAACCAGTAACTGCTTGGTGCATGGGACAACACCCAAACAACTGAGCCTGCCCAACCCCCTCTCTCTAAAATCATTTTTTTAAATCTTTTTTACTGTATACTTAAGATCTGTTGCTGTACTGTATGTAAATTGTACTCAATTAAAAACAAAGATAAACCTAGAACATCTGTGCTTGAGTAGAAGTGCTCAAAGAATGATAGGGATATGTCAAAGGGCACAGGGGCCAACTGGAAAGGACTTAGTCTGGCCAAGTTTGAGACAATTTGTGCATCAAAAAGAATAATGACTGGCCCTGGCCAGTGTGGCTCAGTTGGTTGGGCATCATCTGTGCATTGAAAGGTTGCCAGTTCAATTTCTGGTCAGGACACATGTCTGGGTTTTGGGCTCGATCCTCAGTAGGGGGTTGCAGAAGGCAGCTAATCGATGCTTCCCTCTGACATAGATGTTTCCCTCTCCCTCTCCCTTCCTCTCTCTCTAAAAATCAATTTTAAAAATCTTTTTTAAGCCCGGCTGGCGTGGCTCAGTGGTTGAGCATCCACCTACGAACCAGGCAGTCATGGTTCAATTCCCCGTAAGGGCACATGCCCTGGTTTTGGGCTTGGCCCCCTAGTAGGGGTCATGCAGGAGGCAGCCAGTCAATGATTCTCTCTCATCATTGATGTTTCTATCTCTCTCTCATTCTCCTTTCCTCCTTGAAATCAATAAAAATATTTTTTTAATCTTTTTAAAAAATGTCTGTATTGCCATACATTACATGAATAAAAGCCCATGGGTATGTAAGAATACTCACAAAAGAATAAAATACATTTTCCCCCATCTAAGTTTAAAATTTTTCCTTAATAGAAAGGTTTCAGACATTCCCTAGGGAAATGCAACTTCAACACAGACCTCAACGAATTCCCACAGGCATATTCCACAATCAAAAATTATAAAACACATGAGAAAACAAGGTCTCATGACCGAGAGTGAGGAGAAACAGTAAACAGTAGAAACAGGACTTCAAAAGACATCAGATACTGGGACTATTAGATGCAGAATACAGAATAGGTATGTTTAATATGCTCACAAAATAAAAACAGATGTCTAAAACATGAGACTACAAAGATTTCTCAGGGAGGGCATTAAAAGCAGTAACTATAAACAAAGAATATTGGATTTTATTAAGAATTTCTTTTCATCAGAAGACTTCATTTAGAAAGTAATGAAGCAAGAATAGGTTAGGGAAAGAATTTATAACACATATATCCAACAAAGATCTTTTATCCAGGACATTTAAAGAACTCCTACAGCCCTAACCGGTTTGGCTCAGTGGATAGAGCGTCAGCCTGCTGACTCAAGGGTCCCAGGTTCAATTCCGGTCAAGGGCATGTACCTTGGTTGCGGGCACATCCCCAGTAGGGAGTGTGCAGGAGGCAGCTGATCGATGTTTCTCTCTCATCGATGTTTCTGACTCTCTATCCCTCTCCCTTCCTCTCTGTAAAAAATCAATAAAATATATTTTAAAAAAAAAAGAACTCCTACAATAATGGAAAGGTATGTCTGCTATGGTAAAAACAGCTTCTCAGAATGATTTGACGTAACACTGTGCCTATATTATACTTTAATAAAATATTAAAATGTTTCGTGTAAATAAATGAAAGATGTCTGCTTCTGGGCAAAGCTTAAAAGGACTGTAGAATATCAAGAGTGCAGATTTATTATGCTGGTTGGGTTATAGTTACTTTTCTCTTTTTATAACTTTCTCTAGATTAAATTACATTTATAGTTTATACTGTGTGCAAAATTCAGTTAAAAAAGCAATTGCATGGAAAAGAAGTATTAGCCCTATATACTGGCAGAAGGCACGGTGTCCAGGCAGCCAGGAGACTTCAGTACCCTGCAGAGGATGGAGGCTCCAACGCCCAGGGCCAGAGGGGCAGCCTTTCCCTGTGGCTAGCAAATGGCTCCTCTCTGGCCCCACACCTCTCTCCAGGGGGCCAGCAGATCTTCCCAGGGCTTAAGCCTCTCAAGCAGGCCAGGCCCAGAGAGAAAGGGGCCATAACTCAGCCTCCTCCACACTTCAGCCTGGGTCAGAGCTGGTGGTCCATCTGCCTGGGACTTAGGTGCAAAGCAGTCCATGGTGCAAGAAGGGCCAGAAAGAGGTTACCTACCACAGGAGTCACAGATGAAGCAATCGGTGTGATACAGGCTCCCCATTGCCTGGCATGCTTGTCTTGCGCCGTAGATACCAAGCCCACATTTGATGCAAATGCCTACGGGAGGAGAGGCAGAAAGATCAGTGGTTAGCGCCACGACCATGGTGTTGGATAAACATGCATCCAATTCCCAGTCCTAGTGCTGCCCACACGCCTGATCTTGGGCAAGTGAACTTCTCTAGACCTCCGTCACACAGTTACTAATGGCTCACATGGGGCAGTTAGGGTCCCACTGCTTAGGGTTTGTTGCTGTTGTTGTTTAGCAGAGCACCTGGCACAGAGCCATCCTCGCCATCAAAATCATCATGACCTCTGCATACCTACAAGGTCATTCTGAACCCCTTCCCCCATGAGCTGCCCTTGGACGTGGGGAAAATCCTTTCTTCAGTCTATGAACCAAAAAGAATGAAGACCACACGGCACAACCAGGGCAGAGTCGCTGACCCTCCCCAGCCACACTGTCCTCATCGGTACCATAAAGTTCATTCATTCTCTTGTTCAGTCAGCACATCAACAGCAATGCCTGCCACATGCCCTGCACATTGAGGTGCCAGAGACTCTGCAATGCACCAATCAAGTCCCCACCCTCAAGGAGCCTGTATTCCAGTGGAGGAAGACAGACAACACATAAATAATATCTTAGGAGGAAGCAGCAAGTGCTGTGGAAAAAAAATACTGATTAAAAATATGTCTGAGTGTGTGATTTTTAAGTAGGACAGTCAGAAAAGGCTCTGATGCCCTGGTCAGTATGCTCAGTGGTTAGATTGTCAGCCCTTAGACCGAAGGGTCACAGATTCGATTCCCGGTAAAGGGCACATACCTGGGTTGCAGGTTTGATCCCTGCCCCGCTTGGAGAGTGTGCGGGAGGCAACCAATCAATGTGTCTCTCTCACATTGATCTTTCTCTTTGTTTCCTCCTTCCTGTCCACTCTCTCTAAAAAGCAATGGAAAAAATATCCTCGGGTATCCTCAGGTGAGGATTAAAATAAAATAAAATAAAGGCTCTGGTGATAAGGTGATACCTGAGCAGGCATCTGGGACTACCGGGTGGAATCAGAGACCAGCCCTGGCAACACAGGGCAGGATATCCAGCATTAGGAGATGGGTGGTAAAGGGAAGGGTAACCAGCAATGCCAGGGCAAAGCCTGGCACTAGCCCCTGGGACTCCCTGACTGGCCCTCCTGGAGACCCAGACCATATGTGGCCAGCCCACACATCAGAAGTCCCCTTCTGCCCTAGCCCAGTGGTCGGCAAACTGCGGCTCTCGAGCCACATGCAGCTCTTTGGCCCCTTGAGTGTGGCTCTTGCACAAAATACCATGTGTGGGCGCGCACGTACAGTGCGACTGAAACTTCGTGGCCCATGTGCAGAAGTCGGTATTTTGTGGAAGAGCCACACTCACTCGTTATTGATGTTTCTATCTCTCTTTCCCTCTCCCTTCCTCTCTGAAATCAATAAAGACATTAAAAAAAAAAGAAGTCCCCTTCTCAGAGTTACCCAGGGTGTCCCAGGCCCCAAAGGGCCTGAAGACAGGCTCTGCCCTCTGGACCCGAAGTCTTCTGGCTGCTGTAGGACACACTGCCCTCACCCTCTCCTTCCTACTCTACCAGACCTCTCTCTTTAACATTTACCCATAGTCAAGCCTCTTCCATCTTAAAAACCCCCTCCTCCCCATCAGCCATCCCATTTCCCCCTCCCCTCAGTCAAGAAAGCAAGCAAGCTTAGTCCACACTCAGTCATCTCCTAACTGTGCAAATCCATGACTTCCTGTTCAGATAATACTAGGAGACCTCTCCCCATTGGTTTCCAGGACATGACCTGCACCTGGCTTTCTGGTTCCTCTCCCTTCCTGTTCTGTCTTGGGTCACCCATGACTGCTCTCTCAAACCCAATCAGGAATGTAAAGGTGGCTGGTGGAGGCTGGTGAACGGAGAAAAGAGCCACGGCCGCCAGAAGTCGCAGCCATGCCTTGGATCTGCTAACAGTTACTGGGTGGGAATGCAGGCGCAGCATTGCTAAAGATTCTAATTTTTCAAGAAAAGTCAGATATATAAATTTGCATGTAAAATCTTTCCTTACTGAAATTAATTACTAACTTAAATGTTTTGAAAATGCAGAAGCCAAGCACACCATATCTGCAGGTCTCTCTGGGCAGTCCCAGCCCCTCTCCACGCCTCCTGCAGAGGGCTCTGCGCCAGCCAGGAGCTCTCTCCTCAGTCACTGCTCCACCTCCCAGATGGCCCCCACACCACTCCAGGTCCAGAGCAAAGGTCCAGGGTCCCCACAAAACTGCCCTTGCCCTGGCCGGTTTGCCTCAGTGTACAGAGCATTGGCCTGTGGACCAAAGGGTCACGGGTTCGATTCCAATCAAGGGCGCATACGTCAGCTGCAGGTTCCCCAGCCCCGTTAGGGGCGCATGTGGGAAGCAACCGATCTATGTGTCTCTCTCACTTCAATGTTTCGCTCTCCCTCACACGCCCTCCTCCCTCTCTTCCATTCTCTCTAGAAATCAATGGAAAAAATATCCTCGGTTAAGGATTAAAAAATAATAATAAAACTGCTTCTGCCTCTGGGTTCCTGCTCAGGAAATGGCACTTTTGGGTAGCTAGGTTTCAGGGAGCACCCAGGAATGCCCCTCTCTCTCACCTCCAACTCTGAATTTGGGCTCCTCTGTTCCCTAATCTTGACTTCATTCCCTACCCTCACTCCCACTAGCCTGATTCACCATCATCAATTCTCATCCCAATGGTTATTTCAGCCTCCTCATGGTGTCCCAGCCTGGCCTCCAAAACACATCCCCAAAATTGCAGCCAGACTTTCTTTCTAAAATGAAAATGATCCACTCTCACACCTTCACTCTTGTCCATGTACTTTGAAAGTCCGACCTTGTCACTCCTCTAAGTTACTGGACTATGTGAAGAAATAGAAGTCAGCTGCCTGTGGACACAGGACAGAGGATGCGCTATGACCTCGCATCATTAGGTTTTGGGTTCTGTTTGATGTTTTCTTAAATATGTGCCTGCGTCACTTTAATAAAAATAGTCTGAAGGAGGAGAACCAAAGCATGAGGTACCTCAGAAATTCAAGGAGCAGAACATGTCAAGGGGAGTCAACTCCACCTGTGGGTGCAGCAGTGAGGTCCAGACCAAC